CCCCAGCATGGCCAGGACCTAGCCAAGAAGAGTCCTTTCTTGCTATTATTTTGCACTGGTTTTCTTGGTCAGCTACAGCTGCTTGGAGCAGATGGCCCTCAATGGCCATGCAGTCCCTCACCTCAAATCCCCCCTGGCATCCCTGCAGGGTCATCTAGTTGTGACTTGAATGCCCAAGGGGCAGAATCCTCATTACTCAGTGGACATGCTTCCTTCACCCACACCTGCCCTGGAACTAGCCACAGAGTGACCTGTGTTCCTGAGTCTGATTGCCTCACACCCAACATCTCCTGGGCCTGCAGCTAGAGCCAGCACTCTCTCAGGGTGCTGCACCCAGAGAAGCCCTTAGCTTTGGCCCTGGGCCCTGCAGGGAATGTGGAGCGCTTGCTCGCTCAGTGAGATCCAGAGGTGGCAGGACTACCCTGTCCCTTTCCTAGAGGGACGGGTACCACAGGCCTTCAGTGCAGTAAGGGGGCAGGCAGGTGGAGATGCAGCACAGACCACCTGTGTCCACAAGAGAGATCAGGGTGTCACCATGCAGCAGCTGCTCCCTGGTGACTTGGTCAGGCTGAAGTGGCTCATGACCTCTGTCTCCTTGCAGCAGCCTGCCCCACCCTCCACCCGGACAGCTCCCTCCCAGGTAGGTCCTGCACACCTGTGGCCAGTGCACTCTACCCTGCTTCTCTTAGGCTCTTCCTGAGGAGTGGGGATTGAGGGAGACCCACTGGAGACCCACCATAGGATTTCGGGTGCAGACTGCACCTTCTCAGATGGCCCTCTGAGGTTGGCAAGGCAGTTCCATTCCTGCTTCACAAGGGAGCAGAGGCTGGCCCAGGTCAGTGTCAGCTTGTGCAGGGCAGAAGCAAAGCTGAGTCTAGGCTTTTCTGGCCTCTGTGGAGCTTGATGCTGCATGGAAGCTGGGTTTCCAGGTGCCAAGCCTGAGGGGTCCTCATTCATGTTTCACGAGGGCTGAGGTCCTCCTCAGAGAGTAGATGCTTGGCTTCAGGAACGTGGCCAGGGAACTCTGCCCAGCAGGGAGACGGTGGCAGGCAGATGTGCTAAGCCATGTGAAGGCTGTGCATCCACCTGGGGGGGCAGGCTGTGGCTGCCCTGGGCCCACTGTTGGGCCTGCAGGGCCAGTGGATGGCAGGCAGGAGAGACTGCAACCTTGAAAGGGCTGGAGCCTCTGCTGGCCTGCTGCTTGGGGCTGCTAGTCAGCCAGGCACTGATTAGCGCCCAGCATAGGTGAGATTCACCCCATGCTTCGTGCCTAAGAAGGACCAGCTGCATTGAGGACCTGCCCAGGTTCCCATGACTCTGCTGACTCAGGGCATGGCCCAGCCCTGAAGGATCAGGGGCCTGGAGGGTCCTCAGGCCATGTGCAGCAGAAGGGACCATGTATGGCTGTGGTGCTGGACAAGGGGAATTCATCAAGGCCCTTCTTGGAGAGGAAAACAAACTTGGAGGCTGGGTGGAGTGGTATGGGTGCTAGGGCTCTGCTTGTTGGGGGAAATGGGAGTTAGGGTCATGGTTGGGGCTGTGTGCCAGTGGTCCCACCTCTTCCATCTCTGGGCCTCCCACACTGAAACAGTTAGCCAGAGAAAGAGGAGTCATGGTCTGGGGTAGGGGTGGGCATGGAGAGCAAGGGGCTGGATTCTCCCAAGGGGCCAAGGTGGTGCTGACCCAGAGGCTGCCCCAGACCCTTGCTCTCCAGCTCCCGTAGCCAGGCCACCCCTTCTCAGCACAGCCCCTTCTCCTGCCTCACCTTCTAGTCTGGACCTCTGCTCCAGCCTATCATCTTTCCCTGTCCACCAGGATTTGACTTGATGGCAGCCTTCGGCCTGGTGGAGAAGGAGCACGCCTCTATTCGAGGTGTGGCCATGGAACCCTCAGCCTTGGGCCTGACCCCGACCTTCACACTCTTCAAGGATGCTCAGCTGACACGGCGGACTAGGTATGAGAGGCCAATGGGGCTGGAACTGCAAGTGGGGCTGTGGAAAGTCAGGTGGGCAGAGGTGGGCACAAGAAGGAGACTGACCACATTCCTGGCTCCCAGAGCCTATTGGCCCTGGCATCTCTTCATCACACTGCCGACTGGTTTCACCTGTGTGCTAGAAATTCCCATCTCACAGTCAGCAGATCTCTCGTGGAATGGGGCCTGCCCCTCAGCATGATCTGCAGCCATGCATGTGTCTTTCCCCACCTGGCCTGGGGACTGGTCCCCTACTGCGTCCTGAACATGGTCCACAATGCTGACTGCCTTTGCCTGCCAAGTTAGCAGCTGTAGAGGGCGTGTGGTCCCCCTTTACCCCAACACCTTGAGTCACAGACCTGCACTGCAGTGGACGTGGCACGGTAACAGCAAGATCAGGCGCTGACTTCCAGATCCCCAAAGGACTGATAGGGCCACGTGCCGGAAATTACCAGTAGGGTCTAACTGAGGCATGCAGGGGCACTGAGGCCCGTGGCCCTGAGCAGGTGGCCAGAAGGCCCGGGAGGCTTCTCCAGGTCCCTGCTTTCTGGGCCACACAGGTGCCGGTTGCAGCCAGCCTGGGGGCCCAGGGAAGAGGGTAGAGAGGCTGCATCAGGGTAGCACTGTCTGGAGCTGCCAGGTCCCTGGGCCTCGTGGCACAGCCGTTCACCACGGGCAGCGCAGCCTCCTGTTGCTGTGCTCGCGCTAGAGGCGTCTCCTTCAGGGGTGGTCTGTTCTTTTATCCTTTTATTTTTATTTTTGTGATTCTAGGAGTGGAACCCAGGGGTGCTCTACCACTGAGCCACATCCCCAGCCCCTTTTTGTTTTTATTTGGGACAGAGTCTCACTAGGCTGCCATCAGCTTCCCAAGATTATAGGCACATGCCACTGCACCCACTGTTTTTTTAAATAACCACTTTTTATTTTAAATTTAAATATGCTTTCAAATGGATGCATGGACACACAAACATGGTGCCTGTTATCGGGGCACGGTGTGGTGTTTCCATTCAAGCATAGTCGTGAGGTCTTTGGGTCCGGTAGGCACTCCTGCCCCCTCACGAATTCCAACGCTCTCACCGCGTTTCGGAGGAGACAAACCTCTCTTCTCCCGTGATGGTGTGGCTCTCCTGCGGCGTGGATGTGGTAGCCAGCACTCGCCCTCTGCCTCTAGAGCCACTGCTATAGCTGCTGCAGGAGAGAGACCACCTCACTTCCCCAGGTTGCTGAGAACGAATGGCAGGCCCCTTCTTCCCTGCGGCCATCAGCCTTTCTCTGGGTCTAATCCCATGTGTCCTTCTCCGTCCTCAGCGGGTGGACACTTGGGTGGCTCCCCTGTTGTGGGTGGTGCTCCAGTGACCGTGGAGGGCAGGATCCTCTGTACCCCGACTTCACCTGCTCTGGACCTGTGGGGACAGCAGCTCCCCCTGCTGCCCCGTGGCTGTGCTCAGCACCGTCCCACCCTGTGCAGCCCCTCCCCCGAGCACTGACCTTGCTGTCTGGGTAACAGCTGTTTTGCCTCAGGGCTGGCTTTGACCTGCACTTCTCAGATGATCAGCGATGCTGGGCACTTGTTCCTCTGCCTGCTGGCCATTTGTATGTCTTCTCTCGAGCATGGTGGCTGACACCTGCCCCCTTTTGCCCCCATTTTCTTCGTAGGGTGGTGTGGAAGTGCTGCTGCAGAAGCGGTGGCCCCATTCCTCCCTTCTGGGCTTTCACCGCTGTTCTGCTGGGTGGGCGAGTGGGATGCTCCCACTGCCTGGAGCCCTGGTCTCCACCCCCTGCCTCTGGCCCCACCTTGCACCAAGGTGTTCGGCATCCCAGCCACCATTCCTCAGTCACCCGTCTCAGGTGCCAGCCACCAGCCTGCAGGGCACACGGTGCTTCAGTGCTGCCTGCTCTCCTTTTTGAGCTCCAGAAGGGGACAGAGGTTTCCCAGGTGTGCTTACCCAGCACAGATGTATCTGCACCATGGCAGCTGCACTGAGGGGTCTCAGGCTGCCCAGTTGGCGGGGTCCTTCCCGTGGTGCGATCAGGAAGGTCCCCAAGGAGGCAGCAGACAAGAGCCATGGGCAGAGAGTGGGGGAGGGCTCAGGAGGAAGGAGCAGCAGTGCCACGGCCTTGAGGTCAGGGTGCTTAAAGCCTTGCAGGAAGTGGTGGGGCTGGGTCTTCCCAGCCCCTGGTTTTTATCCCAAGAGCACATCAGGAAGGAGGCTGCAGGCTCTGGGGAGCACTTCTACTGTGTGACCAGAGGCCCTCCCCTGCCCCTCAGTGCACCTGGGTCTGCATAGGTCCTGGCCAGGAGCCCCCAGTCTGAGCACTAGGACAGCTGTGGTCAGTGGGCCAACTCCTGAGGGCAGCGCTGCCTGTGTGCCTGTGGGCTCCCGGCCCTCAGGAGTAACCTGGGGATTCTCCTGGTGGGTCTTCTGCCACACAGGGACCCTGAAGCACAGGGCCTGGGTGAGCCCCTTCTAGGTGACCTTCACTGGCCAGGCCTCAGGGAAGGTAGAGGGCTGTGTCAGGCCAGGTGCCTTGAAGCTTCTTGGAGGGAATTCTGTCCTTTACATACCCCATGTTACTCCCGGGGACACTGAGGCAGGGGAGACCCCAGCTTGGCCTTTAGACCATGGCCGTATGTACCCCCAGTCTGTGTTCTGGGGTACAGACGGCTGCCACACTCCGTCCACAGCTGGGAAGGCTGTGTGTGCAGTCTCCACCATGGTCAGCAGAGCAGCGCCAGGGTGAGACTGGGGCTGCAGGGGGCCTGTGCCTGGGAGGCCTGGTCCAAGCCCAGCCACCCTTCATTCTGCTCATGCCCCCTCCCATGCCCCCAGCGACATCCACCCAGTGGCCCTGCCGCCTGAGCACACCATTGTCTTCCTTGTGCGCCTGCTCCCTGAGACGCCCCGCGAAGCCTTTGCGCTGTGGCAGATGACGGCTGAGGACTTCCAGCCCATCCTCGGGGTTCTTCTGGATGGTGACTGGGGCCCCGGGTCACCCTTGGCAGTTGGGAGGAATGGGAGCCCTGGCTTCAACCTCTCTTTAGTGCCCACCCTAAGCAAGAGCCAGGTGTCCTGAGCTTCCTCAGAGCTGCCCCTCTGCCCCTCACGGGGGAGACCTGCCAGGGTCCTGGGCATGGCCTTGGGTCCTGCAGCTCTCACAGTCTGTCCTTTCCCATCATTTGGGACCAGGGTGGTTGGGTAGGACAGATGCTTACCTGCTGCTCACCTCACCCTGGCAGCTGGCAGAAGGTCGCTGACCTACTTCAACCATGACCCCAGAGCTGCCTTGCAGGTGGCCACTTTCGACCTGCAGGAGGTGAAGAAGGTCTTCTTCGGGAGCTACCACAAGGTCCTGGGAACTCTACTCAGCTCTATGGGCCCCGTCCCAGTAGCCAGCTGTCCCCATGTGCAGCTGCCTGCCCTGGAGCACCAGCACAAGTCCCTGAAAGTCAGGCGATAACCCACCTGGGGCCTCTGACCCTGATGTCCCTTTGTGTCAGTGGCCCTATTTTAATTTGTGTCAGAGTGCACTCTAGCCCTTCTCTCTGGGAGACACCTGTTTTGGGAATTGCCCTGGAAGTCACATGGGATGTGGGTACCATCAAGACCCTGCCCAGGTCCCAGGTGGGCAACTCTTGTTCCACCTATTCTGACACCTTGGCCTGGCAGCTAGGCAGGTGCTGACCCTGCATCATTTACAGGTGCATGTGGCCGTGGGACACTCCAAGGTCAGACTGTATGTGGACTGCCAGAAGGTGGCTGAGAGGCCCATCGGAGAGGCTAGCTCACCTACCTCTGGATTTGTCATGCTGGGGAGGCTGGCCAAGGCCAGGGGTCCCCGGAGCAGCTCAGCTACGGTGAGCCTGGTCTTTGTCCTGCTGGTCTGGTGGGGGCTGTCTCCAGGGACCTGCATCTGGCTGATGCTCCTGCTCCATAGTTCCAGCTTCAGATGCTGCAGATTGTGTGTCGTGACACCTGGGCAGATGAGGACAGGTGCTGTGAGCTTCCTGCATTGGTAGGTGGCCGTGAGGCTCTGGGTACCATCCCAGCCTTGAGTGTGTCCACCCCACACGTCACAGAGGCTCAGGTAGACAGGCCTAAGCCTGTGCTGTGGGATATCAGGGAAAGCTTCCTGGAGGAGGGGGCCTTTGGGGACCAGGGTGGTTGGGTAGGACAGATGCTGGGGGCGGGCCAGGAAGCCCCTACTGCAGTGGTTCTGTAGGAGCCTGCTCCCCTTTTCAGTAGGCCCAGCAAGGTGCAGGCGGGCCAGGAGTCCTCATCTAGCAAGGTGGAGGTCTCCCAGGCCTGCAGGGACCCTACACCCAAAACCACATGCAGGGCCTTTGCTGGTCCCCTCAGTGCCCCGTACTGGCCTTGTCTATTCTGGGGGCCTCGGAGGGGAGTGGGAGGAAGCTACCCACCTGCCTGGGGTCTGTATGGGCACCTGAGAGGAGGCACCCAGGACCCAGCTGCTCTTAGAGGGACTCAGTGGCCTGAGTCCAGACCCACCTTGTTGCATTTCTGTCTCCGCCGCGCCCCACACAGAGTGTTTCCTGGAGTCAGGTGCCTTTTCTGTGCTCAGCCCCAGGGTCTGATGAGAGCCAGGAGAGGGTCCATGAATGAGCAGTCTCCTTTCTTCCAGAGGGATAGAGAGACATGCCCTGCCTTCCCTTCTGCCTGCACCTGCTCTTCAGAGACTCCCGGGCCCCCAGGGCCTCAAGGCCCTCCAGTGAGTCCAGTAGCCTCTACCCTGGGGGTGACTGAAACTGCAGGCCAGGCATAGCCCTGGGGTGTGGCACCATTAACCAGCAGGACTCGAGGCTTGCCCACAGAGGGACGCCCTTCATCTGTCGCCTCTGCTGTGTCACTCCAGGCCATGAGCCCAGCCGTGGCCAAGCCCTTTCTCCCACTGGCTGAGCCTCCCTCCCCAAGCCCTGATCCTCCTGCCATGTCAGGCACGAACCCCTCTTCAGGCATTTCCTGAATGTCCCCTGTCTCCAAGGACCTGCTAGTGGTGGCTGGTGGGGTATGACGTGGCTAGCTGTGAGGGTCAGCCTCCAGGTGGCTCTGTTCTGGCTGCTGCCCCAGGGTTGGTGTTCAGCTCACCTGCAGGAGGCAGGCGCTCCCCAGGGCATGACCTGAGAGGCTCCGGACCTCTGTCAGGAGCACTTCTTCAGGATGGGGTTGGGCAGATCTATTGCATACGGGGCTAGGGGTGGATCCAGAGACTCCTGATCCAGCCTATGCCCAATGATGTGGACAGGGGTGCAGGGCTGGGTGGGGCTCGGGTTTGGGTGGAGCCTGGGTGGGGCTCGGGGTTGGGGTAGGATGGGGACTCAGCCCTACTTGTGCTGTTGCAGGGCCTCCCTGGGAGGAATGGCACCCCAGGAGGACAGGGCCTCCCCGGGCCCAGGGTAAGTCTGTGAGGCCCAGGGGCTGTCTGGATCCTAACTCAGCAGCAGTTCATGTCACCCTGTCCTGTAGAGAGAGGGTTTCCTGAGCTGCAGACAGGCCCGGTCCCCAATTAGGGGGTTGGCCTGGCCTCTCCTGTCACCTATGGGCCACCTGGAGCTGATCTTGCTACTTAGTGAGCATTCCCTCTTCACTGTCCCCACGGGTAGGGTCAGCTCATGGCACAGACGAGGAAGCAGACTTGGGAGGTGAGGCCCCTGCCCAGTCGGTGGGCCCAGGCCTGTCTGGCTCTGAAGGCTGCCTTCTATTTCCTTCCACAGACACTTGCCAAAGGCCTCTGGACCAAGGGGGTATAGGTGCCACAAGTATAGACTTGTTTGGCCCCACACACTGGTGCTGTCGCAGGCTCTGTGGGTGTCTGGCAGGGTCTGGCTCTGCACAGGAGGCCGAAGATAGTGCCCCAGTGACAGCACCACACCCGTGTGTCCTGGGAGGTGCTCCCAGCTGGGCTCTGAGATGTTCAGTATGTTCAGTGCGCAGAGGCTGAGAGGCTGCCTCCCCCCAGCCCCACACCCTGTGTCCCACCCTGCACCTGCCTTGGCTGAGTGTCCTGGCAGGCTGGCCCGGTCCTCACAATGAGCATGTGCCACAGATGGCAGCCAGCTTGCACCAGAAGGGGGAGGTCGTGAACCTCCACGGCCCACGCCTCGCCCTGTGTACCACCAACCACGCGGGCCTGGTGCTGGAGTTGCCAGGGCAAGGGCAAGAGCACAGAGCTTGGGTGTAGAAAGCCACGCTGCCCCCTGGAGGCCAGGCGAGGCGGAGCAGCCTCTGTAGAGCAGGGATGCACCCAGGGTGCCTGGCTGACACAGCGGCTGCCACCTTGCGTCCCTGTCCCTCATGTCTGCAGCAGGCAGCCTTTCCTGTGGGAAGCCTGCCCTGGCTCCAGGGTGCCGCTGGCTTGTTTCTTCATGGGTGCTTCACATACTGTGCACCAGCCTCACTCTGCGAAGGAGTCACAACTGTGTTTGTCATTTGCAGTGTGTCCTTTGGCCTTGTTTGTGACAAGTGTTTTCACACAGATGTTACTTTTTTTTCTCCTTTTTTTTTTTTTGATACTAGGGATTGAGCCAACTTTTACCACTGAGCCACACCCTAGCCCTTTTTATATTATTTTAAGACAGAGTCTCTCTAAGTTGCTTAGGGCCTCCTAAATTGTTGAGGCTGGCTTTGAACTTGTGATCTTCCTGCCTCAGCCTCCCGAGCTGCTGGGATTACAGGTGTGCACCATCGTGCCTGGAACAAGTAGCATTTTTGTCATTTGACTCTTGCCCAGGAACTTGGCATCCTTCTGTTGTCCAGGTTTCTTTTGTGACTCTCCACGAGACTTTCGAGAAGTGGATTATCTGGCCTGGGCTCTAGCTCACCCCAAACCTTGCATCTTTTCGTCATAGCTGTCACCAGGCCCTTCCCTGTTGCAGTGTCTGCCTGGTGGTTTCTGCAGGGCCGTCATCTCTGAGCAACATTTTCCTATCCAGCTTTCTGAATGGATTGTCTGTGTGATTCTTGGTTTTCAGGTGGTTTTTCTTGACTCTCACTTCTGTTCTTGCCTAGTGGTATTGGTGAGTGCTGCAGAAGCCCACTCAGTGGTGTGCAGGTGTCTCAGCTTCCTCCTGGTGCTGGGGGACCCAGGGCTGCATAGTCCAGTGCAGGGTGCATGTGAAAGCCCGCATGTATTTTTTCATGTGATAGTAAAGTCCATTTACTCAAATTTATTGTGAGATTTGAAAATCAAGAATGGCCATGAGATGCTATGTGGTGCTTGCGCAGTAGTCATGGGCACTGTCAGATACTTTTCTCCGGGAGATGTGTGCTGTTTGTTTTGTGATGTCGCTAGATGAAGCCAGCTGGGCTCTGGGTCCTCACCACCAGCTTATGTTCTCTCTCTGACCCTGTGTTTACTTTTGTGCATTGATACTCATGACAAGACCATGCAGTCTGCTTAGTAGAATGTGGAACATTCATATACTAATTCAAAAAGTAATTTGAAAGGGTGCCCCTGCCCATTGGGGCCACTTGTCCAAGATGGGACTCCCAGACCAGAGGGCCCCTGAGGGGTTCAGAGCCTGGGCAGGTCTCCCACCTCTCCTTTGCAGTTGGCTGCTGCGCTCTCTGGCTTCGCCCAGGTGATGTGGTTGTGTGTTGTGATTGGCTTCAGGCTCCAGCTGCCTGGGTGGGGAGGCCAGGGAGCGCGTGCACAGAACTGGCTTGGCTCCCCTCTGGTGTCTGCGGTCCTGGAGAAGCGACCTCCGCGGTTTGCGCTTGTAGACAGGGCTGTACGGGGACCCACCCAGGGGAGCATGAGGGCATCAGGGTGCTTCTGACCCTCTAGTGGAGGGGCCTGTGTGGCCTGGGTCTGGGCTGGTCAGGAAGCAGGCCTTCTCAGCCCAAGCCCCTTGCCTGTGTTTCCAGGGAGAGCCAGGGCCACCCGGACAGACAGGACCTGAGGGCCCTGGAGGTCAGCAGGGGTCACCAGGGACCCAGGGCCGCACAGTCCAGGGACCTGTGGTAGGTGTACCCCACCCCCACCCACCTCCCCTCCACCCTTCCTCTCTGCTACCCAGTTCACCTTCCCCTCCAGGGTCCACCAGGGTCAAAAGGAGAGAAGGGAGACCAGGGGCTCCCAGGCTTACAGGTAGATGGGCTGGGCTGGGGCTGGGCAGGGCCTTGGGCTGACCTCCTCCTCTGGGTATAACCTTTGCCCCTGCCTGGCCGGCCACCTCTGTTCCCTTCCAGGGCTACCCTGGCCAGCAAGGCACCCCTGGGAGAGTTGGCCTCCAGGGACCAAAGGTACTTGTTCTGGGCCGGAAGGTGTGTGCACTGGGAGAGAAGAGAGCCTGGGAAGGTCTTGGAGATGGAGGCTGGGGTGCGGGGACGGGAGGGAGGGGCCCCAGCCCATACCAGGGTCAGGTGGGGGCAGCAGCTTGCGCTCTCTCCGGGGCAGGTGCGAGTCCCGCTGCCTTGGTGAGGCTCACCTGGTGTGTAGGCTACTGCTGCTGCTGTGGGGCTGTTCCCATGGGAGGAGGTGTGGGCACAAGCCACACCCCATCTCACCCTGCCTTTGCCCTTCAGGGAATGAGAGGACTAGAAGGACCTGCTGGCCAGCCTGGCCCCCCTGGCCCCAGGGTAGGCGTCACCTCCTCCACAAGCCCTCACCCAGAATGCTGAGGTCCTGGGAGCTGGACAGGGCCAGTTTGGGAAGAAGGGATTGAACACTTCTGGCTCCTGACCAGGCCAACCCAAGAGGTGACCTGGAGGGGGCCTCTCTCCTGCACTGGAGCAGCCACCACAGGGGCCTTCCTTACCTGTGGCAGAGATGCAGACCCAACGCCACAGGACAGGGGTCGCCAGGGCTCCTGGTTGGGCCTGCTAGGGATGGGTAGGCGAGGCTGGCTGTAGGGACCGCCCCAGGCCCACTGTCCTCTGGGCAGACTTCTCCAGCAGCCAGATTGGCAGAGGCAACCTGGGGCTCCCTCACCTGGAAAGGACTTCTCTCCTGGGTCGGACCTCCCAGTGAGCTCAGGGCCTGGGAGACCCTGAGGGGCAGTCTAGGCCAGCTGCTGAAACACTGCTGGGCTCTCCCACCAGGACCCCCTCTGTGGAGAGGTTGTCCCCCAGTTTCTGGAGTGCATCAGGGAACTGATAGACAGCTGGGTGAGGGGCACGGGGGTCTGCCTGGGCATGAGGTGAGGTTTTCCTGGGTGCCAGGTTGGGGGCAGAACTGGGCCAGTTAGGGGAAGTGTCAAAACTTGAGGGCAGGGGGGTGGAGCTAAGGGCTATGGCCTCTACCAGGCAGTGAGGCTGGGGGCACCGTTGTTTGGGAGCCAGGACAGAGGTGGGCAGATTCACTGGGGGTGCCCGCCAAACCTTGACTTCTGCATCTCTGCAGAGCTTCCAGGGCTTTGTAGGGGCCAGGGGCACCAACGGGGAACGAGGGCCTCCAGGAGCCGTGGGGCCTACAGTAAGTTCCCACCACCCGCCAGTCAGCTGAGGGGGCTCAAGCACAGCCTGTCCAGGTGTCCCAGCTCAGGACTTCCTGTGGGAGGCTGGCCTGCTCCTCACTTGGAGCCTGTGTGGAGCCAGTGGAGCTGGGCTGGTTCAGCTCCACTGGCTCCACACAGGCTCCAGCTCAGCTCCTGCTATTGGGCCTTCCTGGGCAGCACTAGTTGGGGTCCCAAAGCCATGTCTTCCTTCCAGGGCGAGCCTCAGTCCCTGGCCAC